TTGTAAATCTATTTATATAATTATTTTCATAAATTTTGACAAATGACGTTTGACGATTTTCATGTCAACATTTATTCAAATTTATAAACATTGACTTTTGATTAGATTTAAAACTATAAATTGTGATTTTGAATATAGCATTTCATCTAATTTGGATATAAATGTTGGATATTTCTATATATGTACATGTTGTGAATTATATTTTCTGAACTGTCAATTTTTGTTTTTCAAAAATCATAAATCTTTTTTTCTCAAATTTTCCATAAATTTTGACATTTGTCATTTTAGTGTTTTGTTTTTTTTTGCCATTTTCTGTCAAAATTTTTTGAAAATATTTATTTTACAATCTCAATCAATTATAGATACAATCAATTTTGTATCTATAATTTGTTAGGCAATATTTTCTGTAACATAACTTGTAATAATTAATTTATTTGCGTCTTATTGAAGTAACTCGTTAAACATTCTTTTTTTGTGAAATGTCAAAATTTTGGTTATTATTATTTTTAAATTCAAGTGCCGCTTTTTATTGTGATCTCTAATCTATAAGGTTTTAATGAAGTTTTGGTTTCCAAAATAATTTGGTAAGCTAATCAATTAAATCTAAATCATAAGTCTATTCATATAATTATTTTCATAAATATTGACAGATGACATTTAATTTTTTTTTTTCATGTCAACATTTATTTAAATTTTTAAGCATTGATTTTTAATTAGATTTAAAACTATAATCAGTGATTTTGTATGTAGCATTTCATCAAAATTGGATATAAATGTTGGATATTTCTATATATGTACATGTTTTTGAATTTTATTTTTTGAAATGTCAATTTTTTTTTTCAAAAATTATATATCCAAATTTCCTTTAATTTTGACATTTGTCATTTTAGTGTTTTGTTTTTTTTTTGGTCATTTTCTGTCAAAATTTTTAGAAATTTATGAAAATTATATATTTATATTTCAAATTTACTTTTCAAAATTTCCTATAACCTAAGTTGGATATATATGCACACGATAAGCTATTAAAGTTTAAAATCGGTCCAGTAGTTTGGGCGTCCATCGCGAACCAACATCGTGACACGAGATTTATATATATATAGATATATATATATATATAGATATATATATATATATATATATATATATATAAAGCATTGCTTTAACATATGCAGATTTGAAATTTTACATCCATAAACAATTTGTTTACGCATTCTTCAATATCTTTATTTTCGATATGATTTTGATAGAAATTCACCATCGACACAATTTTTTTCTCACTCAATTTTTGGTTCCATGTCAAAATTTTCAAAATTACTCATTTTAATCATTAGTTTTCTTTAATTTAATTTATGGTTGCGTTCTTGCGTTTGTAAACCAATAACAAGGAGTTATTGGTCTACCAATATATGACTTTTCATCAATTTGAGTTAATTATTACCACACACTGTTTTTATGAGATTTTCATCACATTTGGTCTAAAAGTAATTTTTTTTAATTTATAAAAGTTCAGATCTTGCCATAGTTTGTGTTGATTTTTTCTCACAATCTTTATTTATTTATATATACATTATTTTCATATCTCAGTCAGGCAGAGGTGCCTGGTATGAGAGATTATGAAAAATAGTTCTCATATAATATATACATTTAATTTGACTATAATATCTATTTCATTAATATAATATCTCTTTCATTAATATAATATCTATTATAATTAAAATATCTTCATGTAACTCTTCAGTCTTCTTTGTCTTCAATTCCCTTATAGTATTTCTTTATTTTTCTTTTTGAGTATCATTTTGAAAGAAAAGAATTTCGAAAAATATAAATAATTTCTCACTTTTTTCACAAAAAATCTTTAAAGGTATGGTCGCAAATTATTTTTATTTGTAAATGTATTTAGACATTCTAAGGACAATTTAATATCATTTTCAATCCTGTAAGCTAATTTATTAAAATTTCAGAATGAAATCTCAATATATTATCGTTTATTCGATATTCTTATTAAATTATTATCTACTAAATAAATGAAGCGTTTTCAATATGGGCGTATGTTTACAGTTAAACAATTGCAGATATATCCAAATATTTACATTTAAATAAAGTCTTTCAATTATCTTTCTGGATGTTATTGATAGATGCTTAAGAAATATATAGTGCTGTATAAAACAAAGGAAGCAATTAGCAATTTGCTAGCAATCAATTGCTATCAATTATCAAAATATTTTTTTTTAAAACATTAAGTCAAGTTAAGTCAAACATTAGCAATTTGCTAGCAATCAATTGCTATCAATTATCAAAATTATCTTATCTTATGTTTTGGCAACCATTCTCACTATATGGAGACTATTTTCATATATATTATATTTCATCTATAACCTGATATAACTGTTTTGAATTCAATTCGCAGAAAATTGATAATCATGTGACACATGTCTGATCTAATGTTACCTTGTATAATCAAACAAAAAATGAATCATCGGTATAAATTTACAATATAAAATAAACTGTTATATAAGTATGTTGAATGATAAGTGTGAAATTGAGAACTATTTGCATGATTCATTCACATTCATTTGATACTCATGAAAATATGTAATTATATTTTTAACTTTGTTCATCATGATTTGCAGTCGAATATTAATGTTTAAAGTATTTTTTGTGGAAAACCATGGAAATAGAAAAATTTACGGATTTTACTATATTACTGAATTGCTTGTCTACATATTTTTTTACAATAATCCTTTGCTACAATTACTGTAAATTTTCAGAATAAATCATAAATATGTAATTATATTCCTAAATTTGTTCATCAAAATTTACAGTCGAATATTTTTGTGGAAAACGATGAAAAATTGTTTTCTTTACGGATTTTACTTTATTACATATTATATATATATATATATATATATATATATATATATATTTATATTACATATTATATTACATATTTATATTTTTTTACAATTTTGAGTATGAATCAGTTTAATGTGCAATTTGTTTGATCGAACTGATTATATGCAAATAAATAAATTTATGTAAATTTAAATTGTGCAACATATCATCGGTATTTCCCAGTATACATTAAAAATTGTACAAATATTTATTCAACTGGTGTTAAATACTCGTAAATTACTGAGAAAATGATTAAAAATATATATATTTTCTAAATCATGCAATGTAAAGTTCAATTAACTATAAATAATTGTTTAAGGTTACATTTTTATAAGTGTTTTAGTTAAAATTATTAACTTACCAATTATTTATTAATTATTAATTTATTTCTTAAAACTTAAAAAAAAACTTACGTTATTACATAAATTTAAAAGTTGTGGATTGCCATTTTACATATTTTGTTACTGCCATTTTACATATTTTGTAACTATCAAGATATTTTGTTACTGTAAATAGTTGCATAGTCTTTCCAATTCGAATAGAATTTTCTTCAAGTATTCTAGTACTTATTATTATACTTCTATATACAATAAAAAAATGCATATTTGTGGATTGCTTATTAATAAATAAAAACAAAATCTTGTAAATCAAATCGTTCGTTTCGTATGTTTATATATATATACCCATGTAGAAATTAATATGGTCTGAATCTACAAGCAATATAAAATCTACATTGGTCAAATTTGAAACCAATATCGGCTGGTCATAAAAATTGAACATTTTTTATATTGAGGCCATATAGGTAAACCAACAATTGGTCTATATTGGTCTATATTTGGAAATTTGGAACCAATGTTGCCTACAAATTGTTGAATGTTGGTAAGGTAATATACAATTAGACAGAGAGCTGGTAAACATTTAGAATTGTTAATTATTGAATTATTCTGAAACTTATAACTGATGTTGAAATATTACACAAATATTTGAAGATTTGAAGTTGAAATAATATAACGCATAAATCAATGTCATTTATTTAACAATAAAACACCTGAAATTTATTTATTTATTTATTTATTTATTTATTTCTGAAATGAACATATACGTAAATTTATTAAGAATGTTTTTGTGGAAATTCATTTATTAAATATAAACAATGATACAAATATATAACTGCATTAAAAATATGATTATTTATAAAACACAAAAGTGTCATAAATATTGATTATTTTTTTAATAGATATTTATTAATACATATCAAGTAAACTTTTTTTATAACAATAACAAAAGCAAATAAACTTTCCTATTTATAACATCATCACTCGATAAAACATTTCACAGCATCTGAACATATTTTATTTGTTGTTAATATATTTATTATTCATTATGAAATATTTATTTCATCGTCTAGAACAGTCATTGGAAAACCTACCTTACATTTGATATATATCAAGTAAATTATAATCGAATAATTATTCGATTATAATTTACGTGATATATATCAAATGTAAGGAAGGTAAAGTAATAAAAGTAATAGAAGCAAATTAACTTAACTATTTATAACATCATCACTCGATAAAACATTTCACAGCATCTGAACATATTTTATTTGTTGTTAATATATTTATTATCCATTATGAAATATTTATTTCATCGTCTAGAACAGTCATTGGAAAACCTACCTTACATTTGATATATATCAAGTAAATTATAATCGAATAATTATTCGAGTATAATTTACGTGATATATATCAAATGTAAGGTAGGTAAAGTAATAAAAGTAATAAATGCAAATTAACTTAACTATTTATAACATCATCACTCGATAAAACATTTCACAGCATCTGAACATATTTTATTTGTTGTTAATATATTTATTATCCATTATGAAATATTTATTTCATCGTCTAGAACAGTCATTGGAAAACCTACCTTACATTTGATATATATCAAGTAAATTATAATCGAATAATTATTCGAGTATAATTTACGTGATATATATCAAATGTAAGGTAGGTAAAGTAATAAAAGTAATAAATGCAAATTAACTTAACTATTTATAACATCATCACTCGATAAAACATTTCACAGCATCTGAACATATTTTAATTGTTGTTAATATATTTATTATCCATTATGAAATATTTATTTCATCGTCTAGAACAGTGACTGGGAAACTTTTTCAATCATAACCCCAAAATATTTTTGTCCAAGTTTGTATTGTCATCTGAAACCTCGTATTCCTTGTTAATAAATTTATAATATATCATTATATATTATCAATATGAATAATTTATGAAAGCGTTAAAATGAGATTGTAAAATGCACTCGACTCTACTTTTACCTTAAAAAATAATGACTTCATATCATAGTCTAAAATCTTGCTATGCAAATGTACAGATTTATTGACATTCCACATTGCATTTATTATAATCAAACATTATGACTATTCTGTCAAAATTTATATCTTTCCTTTCTATAACTTATTTAGTTACAAACTTTTGATGAAAAACTTTTCGATAACATTTTGCTACTAAGCAAACCAGTTTCTCTATTTTCTGCGCTTACAACAATATTACCTGAAAATAAATAAGAATATGTTTTAAATGCAGAGACATATAATTATATTATAACAAGTATTGTCTTACCTTTTATAAATATGAAAGTGCAGTATGTCTTCAATCAAAAAGATTAGGTTATGTTATATTTTATTATGTTATATTTTATTATATTTCACGTAATATGTACAACTGATTTCTCAATGTGTTTAAACTCCTGATCAATATAAAAATCCTTAGTGAGAAAAATAAAATTATCTTGCATTTCTTACCATTTTTATTGAAAACTTGCAAATTTTGACATTTCGAATAGCTAGTTTCCGATTATTTATTAGAGATACTAATAATAATGTAGTTAGCAGTAATTATTCTAAAAATAAATAGCTATTAGTTACAATGCATAAACGCATAATTAAGTATTATACTCACCAATAGTAAAAAGAATTCGTCTATTAAAACTAAGGTTATGTTAGATATACATAACTTATTACTTAATCTATCCATCCCAAATCAAATCAGATGACGTAAAATTAAGTTGAACTTTCAAACCTTTGTATTTTAATCCAAAGTAACAACAAAGAAATGAAATATTGTATATTTTTCAGAGACAATGCTTACTAAACAATTGTTTACCAAACTTGTTTGTGGTATATATTTCGCACCAATGCACATTACACACATTAGAAAACAATGTACACTATAACACTATTACACATTACACATAACTGAAAATATTATTCGATTATTTCCAGCAACACTAGTATCTTAAAATATACTATAATTAACAATTTTGCATTAAAGGCTAAGGACGCCGTGTGACGCGCGTTGCTTCTTGTAGGCATACGTCATGCATAGAAGGCACAGAAAGATCTAGAACCTTATACCTGCTGTTCAGGATAGTGAGTTACTACAACAAGATTGTATATCTTGGTGGTGCAATGGCTAGCATTGCAGCGTTTAGATTTGATTTTGGGGTTCAAATCCCAGTCCCTTTATTATTATTTTTTTATTTTATAATTGCATGAGTAAATAAAATTAAAGTTTTCAATTAGTTTTATATATCGGACAGTATTTAAAATAAATTACCCTGTAACATTTATAACTTTTTTATAATGAAAGGAAAACTCAATTTTTATACTATTCTCAACATTTGAGATTTTCATAAAGAAACCGTATAAAGTATTATACATCGTTAGAATCGTCTCAAAATTCTTAGTTTTTCTTCCACATATCACAACTTGGTATTTTAAACGGTTTGGCCTATAGGCGAGTTGCAGTGCCAAAATTTTAAAAAAATTGGAAAATTTCAAGAAAATTATATGAATACACATGTCGAATTATATATCATTTTATTCGTAATTTTATTCTGCATTTTTCGTCTGAATAAACCTTTTAAGTATCCTTTACCGTTTAGATTGTAGCATAGGATATATGTGAATATATAGATCTTTGATCTCATTCCACTTCGACAAAATATTTAATTAGCAAATCAGATTTTTTCACAAAACAAACTTCTTTTTCGAGAAGTTAATTAAATAATAATACTTACAATATCGATGATAAAAAAAATTACATCATATTTATTTTTCTAGAGAAGGACAATATTTATTAGCCGATGATAAAAAAATATTGCATCAATATTTATATTTTAGTTTGAGAACAATATTTATCAGCCGATGATAAGAAATATTGCATTAATATTTATATTTTAGTTTGAGGACAATATTTATTAGCAGATGATAAAAAATATTGCATCAATATTTATATTTTAGTTTGAGAACAATATTTATCAGCCGATGATAAGAAATATTGCATTAGTATTTATATTTTAGTTTGAGGACAATATTTATCAGCAGATGATAAAAAATATTGCATCAATATTTATATTTTAGTTTGAGGACAATATTTATCAGCCGATTATAAAAAATATTGCATCAATATTTATATTTTAGTTTGAGGACAATATTTATCAGCCGATAATAAAAAATATTGCATCAATATTTCTATTTTAGTTTGAGGACAATATTTATCAGTCGATGATAAAAAAATATTGCATCAATATTTATTCTTCTATTTGAGGACAATATTTATTAACCGATGATAAAAAATATTGCATCAATATTTCTATTTTAGTTTGAGACCAATATTGGACAAGGCCATTTATAGAGATTATTGCCTCAATATCGGCTGACGTTGGCCTGGTCGATTAGTTGACATCATCACAGAACCGACGTTCGCCTATATTTGTGCAATATAGGCAATCACGGCCACAAAAAACCAATATTGGTAATATATTGTACCGATATTAATTTCTACATGGGTATATATATATATATATATATATATATATATATGTATTTGTATGTATATATGTATATATATATTTGTATATTACTTATTTACATATATGTTTGTATGTATATACATATGTATATGTGTATACATGTATTTGTATATGCGTATATATGTATGTATGTATATATATATATATATATATATATATATATATATATATGAGTGAGTTCTTGAGGGCGATACATCAAACAAAGAAAAGCCAAAGATTTATAAAATAATCTTTATTTCCAAACGTTTCGACATTCAATTTAATGTCATCATCAGTGGATCTAAAAACAGTATGAAAATTAGTATATCTAGGTAATTATAATATATGTGGATTGGTAAAGTAACTATACAATAAGAGAAAAATTAACAAACAGCAACACTTAACAATAAACCAAATATAAAAGATAGGAAAGGTAGTAGAGACTAGAATTAAATAAATACATACATACATACATAATATGCATATTCACAACGACGTACATGTACATGTATGAAACATACATATACTCATACCTATCTATGTAACTATAGCTATACACGTATACACATTTACACATACATATACGCATAAACATGTATACATACATATATACACACATATATATACATATATATATATACATATATATATAATAAAATTGTTTCTTGGGCATCTATCCAGTAATTAAAAAACAGTTTTAATGAAAAATGTTTTTATTTATAGAGAACATACGTTTCGGGTCTGGATTTGACCCATCTTCAGTGCTACAATTAAATAATTCAGGGTTACAAATTAAAAAACAATATAAAAAAAAAAAAAAATACATAATTAACAGACAAAAATAAGTAAAACAGTGTATATGAAAAGTATATATGAAAAACAACCATAAAATAAACAATGTAAAGAAACTCACCATACAAATAAACTTTGAAAAACAACACAAAAACACAAAATTGCACGAAAAATAATTAAAAGTGAAATAAAAAATTGATGAAACGTCGAGTTATGAAAATTTTTAAAAAAATTGTAAACTTAAAATGAATGATATATTTTATTATAAAAAGCTTATTCCAAACGAACATGTTGTTAGTTTGGAAGTTGTATTACGAGTGTGTAATACAACTTCCAAACTAACAACATGTTCGTTTGGAATAAGCTTTTTTATAATAAAATATATCATTCATTTTAAGTTTACAATTTTTTTAAAAATTTTCATAACTCGACGTTTCATCAATTTTTTATTTCACTTTTAATTATTTTTCGTGCAATTTTGTGTTTTTGTGTTGTTTTTCAAAGTTTATTTGTATGGTGAGTTTCTTTACATTGTTTATTTTATGGTTGTTTTTCATATATACTTTTCATATACACTGTTTTACTTATTTTTGTCTGTTAATTATGTATTTTTTTTTTTTTTATATTGTTTTTTAATTTGTAACCCTGAATTATTTAATTGTAGCACTGAAGATGGGTCAAATCCAGACCCGAAACGTATGTTCTCTATAAATAAAAACATTTTTCATTAAAACTGTTTTTTAATTACTGGATGGATGCCCAAGAAACAATTTTATTATATTATTTCACCATCTGAAGAAAAACCTCTCGCTTTACATATATATATACATACATACATACATATACACATATATACACAATACACATATATACATATGTACATAAATGCTCACAAATATATATATATATATATATATATATATATACATAATATATACATACATATATACGCATATACAAATACATGTATACACATATACATATGTACATACATACAAACATACATGTAAATAAGTAATATACATATATATACATATATACATACAAATACATATATATATACATACACATATACATATATATATACATATATATACATATATATATATATATACATATATATAAACATACAATATATGTATACTCGTATATATGTAAAGCAAACAAAATATTTATGAAGATGGATAATACATATAAAATACAAGTGGACTTACATTACGTTGGTTGGTTACATATAGAGATAGTGTACACAGCACTAGAGATTTGGCACTAACATTTATACAACTAACTTGTCAGCACTATGCATTTTTTATATAATTTTTTTGTATGATGTAAACAGAAAAATGATAGTTTTATTGAACAAAAATGTAAGTAGAATTATGTAATTTCTGCCACGACTTCTGTACTTTGCGCGTTCCGAGGCATGTATGACCACATGTTTTGAGAGATTTTTAAAGGTCATTCCAGGATTGTTATGGGCGGGTAGGTAGAAAGTGGTCGGAAGTTGAAACTAGTAATGTTAGGCTAGGTTTGTATGGTTAGAATTAGGAGAAAAAAAAATTGGAAAAGTTATTTAGTATTACTAAGTAGTTATACTAATAACTCAAAAATCTAAAATAAAAAATTTTTAAGGTTTATTCAAAATTTGCTATGTATGGGTAGGTAAAGCTCGGGTATCAAGGCCGAAGTTAAACTAGGAAGTGTTGGCAAGGTTAGTAAGGTCACTTAGTTTTGTTCAGAAGAGATAAATTTGGAAACATTATTTAGTATTACTTGGTAGTTATCGCAGAGTAAGGAGGAATCCGATCTTTTATTCACCACGTGGTCACATATTGATATGAAACAAGATTCTGCAAAACGTCTCTGAATGGTGTTCCGTTCATGGTAGAGAATACTGGCATTATAAAAGTTAAAGGAGTGTTTGAAATTTTTTATGTGTTCTGTTATCATAGTTTGGTTTTGGTTGGGGTTTTTCGAATTATTGTCGTGTTGTTTGAGTCTTTTTATTAAATTTTGT